ATATTCTGTTTCACTTGGTGAAAGGACTTCAGATTATTACATATATTATTACATTTTTGATGAAAAAGCTTTACACATATAATCTGTTATTGGACAACGTATTTGTCCGACATTGAAGTTCCTCTCTGCCTTTTTTAACATGTTTGACAGGTGCTGCATGTGTTTTAGTTTCACCTGGATGGATTTATTACGTTTGCTTATGTTTGACCATTTTATGCATCAATAAACTTCCAGCACTGCGCTATCAGCATGTTTCTGACTGACATTTCTTTCACTAAATGATTATTAGATCGGGTTATTGTACGCTGGGTTTGACTGAGAATACGACCACAAATGTACATGTACTAAATGTTCTTTACACCACGGTAGATCGTCTGGTTTTAATGCATTTAAAAATGATTTTTTATGAAATAATAGTGTTTTTATTGTGACGTAACTAATATCTTCTGTTTGAGCTTTTGTTTTCGATAAAGTGCAGAAAACAATTGATAAAATGTATATAAAATACAATAACGTTATTTCTTTACATTTTACTGTAACCAGGCGTAGTAGTCTCAGTACAAGACGGCGGGCCAGGCGGCGTTTAGGCGCACATGTTCATGCAACATGGCACACGCCAACTGGCGATTATATATTCTGCAGAAATCCACCAGGTGCAGCGCTTGTTAGGAAAGCCTTCCCTTCAATGGAGACGCCTCGTGATTCTCTTTGCAGGAAAAACCTTATAGTGGATGTGCACTTTATGTTGTGTATGAATTATGTTGTGAGTCTCACTAGTTGCCACCAGAGGGTGCCAGCAAACAGCCGAATGCCTTTAATGTATCTGCTTGGACCTGTGGTTGCAGAAACTGTTCCCAGACCTGTCATGAGGATGTCAGACCTGCACTCCAACCTGTCTGCTGGACTGTGCAACATCACAGTCAACTGCTCCATCAGGGACGAGTGGGTGTGGTCCTTCTGTGATGGAGAGGGTTGCAGAACATCTCAGAGATCACTCAGGAAGGTCAACATCACCATATCCACTGACAACAGATCCATTGTCTGCAGTGGCAACAACCACGTCAGCA